GTTGATGGTACAACATGAACAGCTTCCTCCAGGCAGGTCGAGGGCTCAGCCCGGCACACGTGCGTGGTGGATCCAGCCCTCCCGGCCTTTCAGTCTGGCCTCTGGGCCTTCCCTAGCCCACCCTTTCCTGTCGCCCGACCGACCGTCGAGCATTTAGCAGCTGGCCAGCTCTGCAGTCTTTTGCTCACGCACTGGAGTTGCCCTCCCGCCGCAGCTTGTCTGAAAAGCCTCCGGGGAGGCAGAATGTGCCGAGCCAGAGTCTACGGAGGGAGGCATCCAGGGTGCTGGGGCTGCCCAGACACCTTTGACCGGCAGCTGTTAGGGGCTGCGTGGGTGAGGTGGGGTGACCCTGCTGTCAGCCAATTTGGGGCTTGCTCATCCCTCGATGGCTTTGGTGTGAAGAAAGGATTTGCATGCAGCGCTGGCTCACCAGGGCCAGAGCCCCGAATCTTTCACTGGAGCCCCAGATCTCTAGGGGGCTGTCTGTCCCCCACATGGGCTCTCTGGGGCCCTCAGGATCTCTGCTGCACAAGCCCTCCCCAATTACCCGGATTCCCATCCACATGTGCTTCCCCTCCTGCTTGCGCCCCTCGTATCTCCCCACGGAGCATTTTGAGACTGAAATCAGGTGGCCACTCCCTCCCCACCCATGCATCGCTTTTCAGGCCTAAGTGTACATGTGGGTCAGCTTAGGCAATCTCTACGTGTCTTGCACGTGGGTGTGAGTGCCAACTCTTCTCCGTACCTTGCATCGTCCCTCCTTGCACATCACAGCATGATGGAGTGCAACGCGTGTGAATTCAATTTCACAATTTTACCTCTCCGTCAGAGAACCACTGTTTGGCTGCAGAGCAAGGGTCGGGGGCTGGTGACTCTCCGGATGTCCATCGGCTCTAGTTGGCATAGCCAATGGTGAGGGATCGTGAGAGTTGTGGGCCAAAGTATTTGGTGGGCCTGAAGTTGCCCGCGGCAGGCTGGACCGCCATCCTTAGGCCTGAGCCACTTGGGTTCTGGTTCTCACTCAGCTCAAGTTGAGATTTGGAGATTTCTGGGGAAACATACACTTTCCCCATTGTACAGAGTTGTGGGCTGGATCCAAGAATTGCATGCTTGCCCCAAGAGAATGGTTGGAGGAAAGAGTGGACTGAGCATCACTAATGAACGCTTCTCAAACAGTCCGTCGCTCGCTGTCCAGCGATACACATCCTGTGGAGTTGGTGGTCTGTCACCTGGCAGTGGTGGACCCCAAAGGTTTAGAGAAAGTGGGGTGAGGTCTTCTTAGGATGCAGGGGCTGTTGAGGATAATTTCAGAGCCCGTCGACTTGTTGGGACATTCTGCCTTTCTGCTGCTTTCCATCTGTTCCTTCTCAGTCTGTGAACATACGTGAAGGAGCAGGTTTTTGCAAAGGCCTCTTAAAATCCAGGCGAACTTTCCAGGAAAATAAATGGGCCCTGAAAGCAAGTTGCTGCAGTTTTCTCACCAGGCTGGGAACAAGGCAGCCGACAGGAAGCCTTGAATTATCCACCCATCTTTGGGGTGGGTAGGAGAAGAGTTTAGAACTTGCTACTCACTTTGATTTTTTCTATAAACAAAGTTTTAAAGTTCTTCATCACAGAAGGGGGGAAAAGGCCCACAGCGGTTGAGGGAACAAGAGACAAGGCACTGGCCCCTTATGAAACTTTGCTCATCTAAGGCAAACAAAAGTAAAATGTTTATGTTTCAGCGGACATATGAGGTCAGATGTCAAAAGTATGACTGCAAGATCATATAAACTGCAGAATCCAACGCTTTTTTCAGGAACTGTTTTTCAGAGTCTGGCTTAATGTGTTCCAAACATTTTTTAAAATGCCTGAGGAAGTCTTTTAGAAATGGATGAAACTAACAAAATCCTAGGTTAGGCAGTAATAATTCACATTCCTAGATGGCATTCTTACAGTAAAGAGGCTGGCATTGGGGGTTATTTTCTTTTCAAGCTTAGCTTTGAATTTCAGCTCTCTGTCCTTCAGTGGAAGCCGTGGACATTCATGGCCTGCGTGAATCCCGCTTCTTGGAACAATTCGGGAATACCTCAGCTTGGGTCTGGTTAATTTGGAAGCGGCTGCAGTTGGTGACCCCAGTGAAGGGCTCCGAGCCAGCCCTGGGGAAGCGCTCAGTGAAGAATTTCTTCTTCCTCACCGGGAGATGCTGGGAATGTGGCATGTGTCCTTCTGCATGCAAGGAAGAGCCACGGAGCTGCCACTCAGCGCCAGGGAGGAAATCCAGGGTTGGTGAGCTGCCCATGGTCCGTGTGTAGCGCGTCCCCATTGGCATCCTTGACCTCTCCCATCAGAAAGAACTGCTTCCTCTGGAAAGCTGCTACCCATTGGAAGGTTGACTGTCGGTTGTCATTGCAATGCGGGTTATTGTGTTGTGTGAACCCACCTGAGATAACTTGAGAATAACCCACAGATCACACCCCAACAGCAAACAATGGTCTTTGTGGTTCACAAAGAAGAGTCCATCATATGAGTATTTTGTCCGCAGTCTCTGGCTGCCACTGATGGGGTCATTTGACCTTCTGGCTTCAAGCAGAAATGCTAAATACGCCTGCAAGGAATGAAGGGAGGCGCAGAGCTTTGTCCATCCATCCCATCCATTATTGTAAGCCATCCTGAGGAGGTGTTGGTGGGGACGGGGTAGAAAAGCTTTTAATGAATGAATAAACAAACAAATATTATTTCTGCCTTTTATGGGGGATCGGGTGCTTTTTGTTCCGTCGTCTTCCTCTAGACGGAATTGGATTTGTTAAGCAAGAACCTCATTTTACTTGGGCTATTTCGCCTAAATGGTAGTGCACAATCGCTAATGTGAATTCGCAAATGGACTTTAGTATTACTACACACATGTGTATCAGCACTAATGCACATTAGCACAAATCCCCTCCACCCCAAGTCAGAAATCAGAAGAATCCAATCTTCTGCAGCGTCTTCAAAATCCATGCTCATTTGAATGAACTTTGCCACTGCATGTTGGAGTTCCCCGAAAGCAATGACAAGAACTCTTTGTGTATGTAGTGGATGAAAATTGGCAAAGAACATGCTGAGATGGAACTGTTCACAGGTGCTAACTTTCTCTTCTAGGGAGGTTTCTGTTGTGTTTCTTTTCCCCAGGTGAGCATTTCCCACCTCCTGCCTGAAATTTATTTACTATTACTCATAATACTGCAGATGTTATAATATGTTATATAAGATGTTACATAGCATAATATAAGATGTTATAATAGGACTGCAGGTGGCGCAGTGGTTTAAACTGCTGTGCTGCTGGGCTGGGTGATCGAAAGGTCGCCAGTTTGAATCTGCACAACGGGTTGAGCTCAAGGTCTCTGTCCCAGCTCCTGCCAACCTTGCAGTTCGAAAGCATGCAAATGCAAGTAGAGAAAAAGGTTCCACTTCGGTGGGAAGGTAACAGCGTTCCATGCACCTCGGTGTTTAGTCATGCCGGCCACACGACCACGGGGACAGTCTGTGGACAAACGCTGGCTCCCTCGGCTAGGAAACGGGGATGAGCACCACCCCCTAGAGTCAGGCATGACTGGACTTAATGTCAAGGGGAAACCTTCACCTTTACTCATGTTTACATACCACTTTGTGTAATAAAATTTTTAATTGCTAAAGTTTACTCCATGGACTAGTCCAGGGGTCGGCAACCCGCAGCTCTGGAGCCGCTCGTGGCTCTTGAGCCCCTCTGCTGTGGCTCCGTTGCTCAAAGCACGCGCCGGCACAGCCGCCGATCTGCGACCGAAGCGCCACCAAAGCTCCACTCAGGAATGCCATTCCTCTGCTATTGTGCAGGGAAAGAGTGGAACAAGCTTCCTGCAGGCTCTCATGTTACATGGAACTACATGAAACAAAACACTGTTGAAAGGATTCTCTTTGTCCCAATGTAATCTCCTTCCTCTGAACGATAAAAGCTGTTCTTGAGACCTGTCACAATTCACAGCACTTGACTGTTTATTTGCTGATCAGTCACTAAACACACCTATATCTCGCTTACTGAGCTTCCCCCCCCCCCCCCAGGCCACCCAAGAACAAATCAAAGAAAAGAAAAGTTTCTGAAGAACACCAAATGTTTAATGGTACATGGGTAGATTCATTTGCTTTTACTGCTGACGAACTTACGGGTTTGCTGTTTAATGCATGCAGCCCTTTAGCACTGACTTTGACCCTGCAGGAAGCTGTTCTCCTATTCAAAATATATGAATGGAGTCCTACTAGTTTATAATGTAAGGTTAAAAATAACAGTTTTTAGTGACTGAACAAGAGCTGCGGCTAAATCATAATGAAGATAAGATCTACTTCCTTGTTTTAAGAAGATTCTTATAAAAATTCCAGCAACATTATCACATTGGGAGAGGGATGTTTGTTCAATATTTCACCAGACTATTATTTATATTTGTTGTATTGCAGAAACTCTACTTACTGAATGAGAGTATCAGTTAGTCCTTTTTTAACTCAGGTTGACAGCTGACTGCACCCTCCAGTACACTTGATAAAAGGATGAGGGCACACAGAAGCAGAGGGCATTTTTGGTTTGCTGCAGGTGGATAATTTAAGTTCAGCTTTTTATTTCATAAATACGAGGAGGACTCAAATAGACATTGAATATTTTATTTGAAAGTAACGTTCAACCCAGTGTCTTTTTTTTTTTTTTGAGTTCAAAATGTTTTTGTTGCATGCAGAAATAAAAAATTGTTTTCTCTGTAGCAGTTCATTGATATCATAAATGCAACACACTATAGGTTTCTTATACATTGCATAAAGGTAAAAAATGATATATGCAGTGTCATCTTCATTTTAGATGTCAAAAGGGTTTTGCGGCTCCCGGTGTTTTCTTTTCTGTGGGAAATGGGTCCAAATGACTCTTTGAGTGTTAAAGGTTGCCGACCCCTGGGCTAGTCCATCAGAGTAGATTGTCCACCCTAATCTCTGTAAACCTCTCGGTCTCCTGCTTTGCCTTCCAGCTTCTGAAGGGAATGTCCATCCCTCGCCGGAAAAGTCTGGACAAGACGGAGGATGAGGAGGATGCAGAGAGCGGGGACTGTGATGACGAGGATGACTGCGATGGCAATGCAGTTTCTGGAAATGGCGAATTAAAAGTGAAGAACCAGCTGCGGTTCTTAGCAGGTAATGAGGAAATCTGATCTTTCCGTCTGTTCATTCCCTGCCTGGCATTTGGTATATCCTGTCCAAAGCTGCTCGGTGCTACAAAATTTGAAAAGGTGTGATGGAAAGGCCGATCAAAGGCTACTGTGTGTCCTCCAGAGGCATTTCTCAAACAGAGGTGCCAAACCTCTTTCAACCCAGTGGACAGATTCCATGCTGGAGAAGCTGTAAGTGGGCCCCACTCCCAGGGTAGGCGAAGTTGGCCGTAAAGGGTAGGGGCCTCAAGAAATCTGGCATATTTCCTGTCTCAGGAGAGGCGTCTGAGGCTCCTGCTGCGAGTGTTGGACAAGAGCTCAGGTTCGGGTTCTTGCTTCCGCTTGGCCACGAAGCTCACTGGGAGCAGGCCCACGGAAGGAGCTGTGGGTTCCTTGCAAATGGAGAAATAGGAGATGCTCATGAATAACAATGTCATAACTTGGACCATTAGAATGGGGGGAGAAGGGCCCCAAATGTAGGAAAGTCGGGGGGAAGAGATGGTGCCAGAGGGAAGGGGTTTGGCTGTCTGGGAGAGCAGATTGGAAGCCCTGGAGGGCCGGGGTGGTTCCCCAAAGCCTGGGGGTCTGCTGTACTGCTCTGAATCCCAGCAGGTTCCACCAACCACCTGCTGGTCCTCCCGACAGCGTGAGATGGAAATGCCCTCATGGCCCGAACCTTGTGAACTCCCCCAGGACGTTGGGCATCGTGGGGAGCAGGAGGCTGGGCGCGGTGGGACCCGCTTGGCTTGATCTGCCAGGCCTCTTCCTCTGCTGTGATTCCTCCGGTGGAGCTCAGCCTTTCCGCTCTCCTTTGCTTTGGTTTTCCTGTGTGTAACGGGCAAGAGACTGGCTAGAGCACGGGTTTTGCCCTGGGCCAAGGCCACGTCCTAGAAGTTGCCAGTGTGTTGCCCAGTATTTTAAGGAATCCCCCTTGGCCAAAGTTAAATTGAATGGTTTACTCAAGCCATTCTGGCTGCAGAAGTCGCCCCCAAAACGATGAATGCCTGCTAGCAACAGGCTGGTTGGACTGTAGAGTTGTGTGTGTTTTGGCCTGAGTGAACAGCACACTAGTCTGGGCAGACGGATGCTGCCGTTGGCTCGGACAATGGCGTTGCGTTTCCTATGGCTGGCCACAGAGGCATTGCCGAGTTGCAACCGCAACATCCTTCTGGGGGCGCTTCCAGTGAGGCTCGTGCAGCATCTTAGTCATCAGACGCAGGGCTGGGAATGGCTGTGGACCCCGGGTGCTCATCCTGGGCGAGGCTGGCACAGCACGCGGAAACCTGTGATCCTGTGGAGGGGCGAACCATGACGACAACATCCAGCATGGTATTTCTGCAGATCACATGTCGAGGGTGCTGTGGGTTGCTGTTACTTCTTGTCTGCTTCCGGTTTTGCTGCTTGAATGCTTCTCCCCGCCCCCCGGGTTTGATGAAGAGGCCTTCGCTCACCTGGAGGGATTGGCATCAACACTTGCACGAAACCAGCAGGGAGAAAGCGGCCTTGTGCTGAGATCCCCAGGGTGGCACATGGACACTTGAGTAGGCACATACACCTTTCTCCCACTGCTTGCCAGCCCCTCTGCCCATCCTGATTCTAATTTTATGTAAAATAAAACGCAAGCTGTCAAGGGAAGCTCTTCCCCGCACACTGTCCCCAAGTGGGCCCAAAGAAGCGCTTCGTGTCTGGATCCCCATCCTCACCCTGCCCTGCCCTTGGCTTCTGGATCACGTGGGTTTTCTTTTAGCTGCACTGCTTTTGGCTTCAGAGGCCCCAGCTGCTGTGGCAGCCATTTCATGAACGGGGAAACGCCCCTCTCCCAGTGCCAGCCATTTTGTGAGGGCACCCACAACACTCTCTCTGAATTCCAAATGCAGCTGCTGACTCAAATTTTGGGGGAACCCAAAAAACCATGAGGGGATGTTGATGCCAGGCACGGGCCTGCGTACATGGTACAAACTAGGGCTGAGTTCTTCTGCTTGATGCCCAAAGCGCGATAGCTGCAAGAGGGGTCTTGGGAGGAGGACCCTGTATTATTTATTTAAAACACTTGTATGCTGCTCAGTTGTGTCACAGCACCTCTGGGCAGCTCACAGCCACAAGATAAAGACACAATAAAAACCAATTACAACATATTAAACATAGAATGTCAGTAAAACTAGGGCCAAAATCCAAAACAAAGGTCAAGTGGCATTAACTATTGAAATATTTTTTTTCAAAAAGGAAGATCTTTGCCTGGCACTGAAAGAATATAAGGAAGAAGCTGCAAAAGGTACAGGCCTCTTCGCAGCATAAGAGAGCAGAAGGAAGACCAGTTTCTTCTGAATCTGAGCCTCCACCCCATTTATAAAATATATGTAGCATCAAGTTGCCTCTGACTTACACAACCCTATGAAAGAAAGAACCCTCTGAAATGTCTCAGTCCATGATAGCCTGATCAACTCTTGTCAATTCCGGGCTTTCTGTGGAGTCCTTCCCTCTCCTCTTTGCCCTTCCTTTCCCCAGTGTGATGCCCTTCTCTTCCTTCCTCATGATGTGCAGGGCAGCCTTGGTTGTGTCATTTCTGCTTTTAGGGGAAGTTCCGGTGTGATGTGTCCCGTGATTCGCTTGTCTGTCGGTCAAGGGCCTTCTCCAAGTTCTCCTCCGGCACCATGTTTCCAACAAATCCATTTTCTTCCCGCCAGCTTCCTTCACTCTCCAGCTCTCACTTCCATTCACAGCTGTCAGGGGGAGAATAGGGTGGATGACCTTGGCCTTGATCCTCAGTGAAACGTCCCTACTCTTACAGTGCATATACATATATGTCCTTATATAACATTACAGAACAGGGAATTTGGTGCCCTGCAGATATTTCAGGCGGTAACTCACGCAGTCCCTGATCCAGGATTATTCTGGCTAATAACGACGGGCAACGTAGTCCAAGAACATCTGGAGGGCTCTACGTTGCCAAGCCAGCCCCAGGTGAAGCGCCCACCAGGATAGGTTTCTCCCCAAGGCTTGCATTTTCTGGAAGTCTTGGCTTGCATTTCCTGCCTGCCTTCTTTGAAATGAAAAGGCTGTAAAAAAAGATAGGGAGAAGTGCAGTCAGTGGCACATGTCTCTGTTATCGGATAAGGACAGAATTCCAGAGAGCCGCAGATGATGCAGCTGGAGCCCTGCACCCGCAGGGGGTTGGACCTGATGGCCTTCTTGGCCTCTTCCGACCCATCTATCCCATGGCTCCATGAGTATAACCAGGCGAGGGCTTCCTGCATGGAAGCGCCAGGGCCTTTTCTGTGCTTTGGAAACCACTTCCCTTGGCTATGACCCTAGTGAAAATGGAGGACCAGCAGGCCAACAGTCCCTGCATGCAGGAACCGTCTTCCCCATCAGGTGCCTGTGCATGGCCAGGGGAGTCCCCTGCATTTGCGCTGGGTCTTGACGTCCAGGCTCTCCCAAGCACTGCACGTCTTCTTGTCCAAGACCAGACAACGGAACCTGGATAAAATCAGCCCTGCAGCTTTCAAGTTTAAAGAGGAAAACATGGTCTCTTAAAATGAGGCCAGATGCTTATATAAATTCCTTCCCCTTGATCTGGGACAATTACTTGGTATTTAATGGAGTGGAAGCAAAGGTATGTAACTGCCTGTCAGGTCCGCACCCTCTCACGCGCGCTTTCTCTCCGGTGTGTGCAGGGGAACTTTGTGTGCGCCCGTGTCAAGGGTAAATAAAACACCAAGTGGGTCGGATGCTGGGGAAGCGGACGTTGGAGCTCTTCTGCGCAGCCTTGGTAAACATCGGACAAAAGGAGACATGTGTGGATCAGATGTGCGGGGAAGAGCTTTCTTGCTTATCTCGGAGGCCAAATACGCACCCACCGATCTCTTGATGTTGTCTTTCTTAATGACTTGCAGCCACGCGGGGGGGGGGGGGGGGGGGGGGGGGGCCCATTGGGGGGGGGGGGGCGCAGAGGGGGGGGGGGGGGGGGGGGAGAAAGGGTGTTCCCCCCCTTTTGTTGTTCCCCCCGTCCCCCCCCCCCCCCCCGTGTTTTGTTCTCCTTTACCCCAACAGCTGTGGGGAGACGGCAGAGTTTTTCTGGCCACAAAGAGAGAGGGTCCACCGAACACCTCCCCCCCCCACAGAGCTTCCCCAAAGCCAATTAGCACCCTCCAATGTCTGCAGTTAATTAGGGAAGAAATGGATCTCCTTCACAGCATGTGGTTGGAGCTGACTTATGGGGCGTGTGCCCACACAGAGAATCGCAGCAAACGATCAGTTGCAGGCCGGTTGTTTGCGGCAGTGAAATCCCACAAACAGCAGGGAATCCAGCATGAATTGCGCAAAGTCGAGCTGGAAAATTGGAAAAACGGCAAAGAAGGGCCTTGCTTACCGTCGCTTTCTCCCATAAAGGGGCTGAGGGGGTTGGTAGCTCACAAAGTAGGGGATGGAAAGTGCCCACTGGGAACGTGACCTGTGCCATGAATGCCGCCATCTTTCAGCCTCAGCTTCCCATCTGCAATATGGACACAATAAGACCCTATCTTAGGAGAGGGGGTTCCCCCCCCCCCGGTAGAGTCACTGAGACAGCGGATGAAAAATCCTTGGGGGACCTTGCATGATTTTATGGGAACGTTTTTATAAATGCCAAGCTATAGCTGTTTTATTTCAGGGCAGTGTAAAAGGTGGAGTTTCTTTACACCATGTGGAGACACGCTGCTCTTCAGAAGTTGTTGGGCTGCATTTCCTATTAGCCCCAGCTGGTGGAGGTTGGGGTTTGTAGCCTGACAACCTGTGGAGGCCTAGACACGTACCTATCCCTGCTTTAAACCACGGCCTTTCCGTAGGTGCAGTTCTGCACTTCTGCTCAGCGTTTGTTAGCCCCTTTTGGGAAAACTGCCCAAGCGCCTGTGCCACATCCCATGGCAAATGTGGCACCAATCGCCAATCGCGACTCTTGAGTAGAGGCAATGCGCGGCTTTGCAGGAACTGACCTGCTCCCTGTCTCCC